AAATTTATTTGATTATATATGTATGGTTGGAGTCTCGCGAGTAAAAATTCGCTATAATGTGTATTTATGTTTAAAATGTGTCTATCAGCCCCTCACGTGATTCTTCACGTGTTTTTTCAAATTGGATTCCCACAGAAAAGCTTTATCGCGTACAGTGCAATTGAATCTGGGCCTATCATTGTCATGAATCTTCATGTAACGTCTCATATTGTGTGATAGGGTGAAATTTTTCTCGCGCAAAGAACAAGTCTATGATTTCCTATCAGCATGAGTCCTCGTATGTCTAAACAAATTCGATGAACCGGTGAAATTCTTCCCACATTTCGAACATGAGAATGGCTTCTCACCGGTATGAATCCTTATATGTGTAAGCAAATTCCTTCCTGGGTGAAATTCTTATCACATTCCGAAGTGGAGAAGGGTTTCTCACCAGTACGAGTCCTTATGTGCCTATATTGGATGTTGGACGTTTTAATACCTCTCGTTGGGTATTTCATTGCTTAGTAAGATGCAAGTAGACACGAAACGGGAAATTTCATTGACTAAGACAAGAGAAATAATAAAGAAATCTTAAAGAAACAATACTAATATGCATATAAAGCAATAGAATGCTAACAATACAACAAAGAGTAATGAATTTAACTTATAGAAAATACAACAAAATAGCAATGCATAATTTCGGTTCAAAATCCGCCTATCAGTTCATTCAAGGTGCAATTCTCCATGTGTTTTTTCCAATAGGATTTCGTCACAAAAGCCTTGCTGCATACATGGCAGTTGAATCTACGCCTATCATTGTCATGAATCTTCATGTGAAGTTTCATACTACATGATCGAGAGAATTTTTTATTGCACACAGAACAATTGTACAGTTTTTCACCAGTATGAGTGGTCATCATATGTCTACGCCGATTTGATGAAACGGTGAAATTCATCCCACATATCGAACAACTGTACGGTTTCTTACCGGTATGAGTCCTCTTATGTTTACATAAACCCGATGATGCAGTGAACCTCTTCAGGCATGTTTCGCATTTGAACCGCTTCTCACCTATATGAGTCGAACGCTCTGGATGTTTCCTTTTGATGTTACCTTTGTTTCCTTTGGACTGTTTCCTTTCGATTGTTTGGATGTTGGACGTTTCATTTTGATATTTCTCGTTGGACGTTTCATTTTGATATCTCTCGTTGGACGTTTCATTTTGATGTCTCTCGTTGGACGTTTCATTTTTGATACCTCGCATGCCAGATTTTCTTCGGCATATTTCCTATACTTGTTTGTTCCCTTCTCACTTCTTGAATTGGTGCGTTCAACGAGCTTACGTCATTCTGATCAATTTCGTTGAATTCTATTTGTTCCCCTCTCACATGAGGCGCTGATGGAGCTGATGGTTTAATCCGTTCCTCAGTTATTCTTGACATTGATAAATCCAACGATTCCTTTTGTGGCTCCTAAATAAGTTACCAAGTTTGAACTGCGTTAAAATTTTAAAGCCTTGGAAATATTGCAGCATTATCTTCTATTTTTGAACTTTAAATGAACTTACGATAGTTTGAGTGTCACTCAGTTGGAAGAAGGCGAAAATGATACAGATGAAATGCATATTGATGAGAGTAATTTCTTGCCAATTCTGAAAAAAATATTCAAATTTATTAGTATACTGAATGATTGCTTATAAGAAACAACACCGAGTACATACTTTGACATCGAGTACATACTTTCCTAAATATATTAGCGCTGAAAATGAAATTGGTGCGCATTCATTACTTGCATTATTTTTATTGTTTCCTCAAACACAATGAATTAATTCATACTAGAGATTTGGGGGCAGATATTATTTATATATTATTTATATTTTTCGTCAGATTTATTTATACATTAATCGTGGAGTCCTAAAAATTTCGTAACCAAAACATTGAAGAGTAACTAACATTGTTTGT